AAACATATATAAAATTTTACCCTAGGCAGGGACAGTTCCCAGAGCTCGGATGTGTCTCTCCCAGACTGTAAAGGTGAAACTCTGGGACCTGACTTGGGAAGGGGCAGAGTGGACATGATTGGGTTTCAGGGACTCCCAGAATCACCTTTGAGTGAGTGGTGGGTTGTGGGGATGTTGTCTTCACAGTGATTGTTCATGACTCTTTTTCTGTAGCGTGAAGACAGCTGCCTGGTGTGGATGGAGTGACAGACGATGTGTTCATGTCTCTCCTGTGACATCCAGAGCCCCTCAGTTCACTCTCAGCAATAGTGTCTGATGTTCCCTGTGATCCTGTGGGCTCAATGTGAAGAACTGGGAGCCCAGCCCACCCCTGCACACCAGGACCCCGTTCCTGCACTGCCCTGTTCCCTTCCACAGCCAACCTTCCTGTTCCTGCAGACAGGAGGGGACATCTCCATCCTGTCTCCTCCATGCTGTCCTGAGCTGCAACCCTGACTTCCCCACTGAAAATAAGAATCTGAATGTGAACTTGATTGTTAATGTCCTTGATCTAACAGATTAATTGTCAGGTAATATAAAGGTTCGAGATACGTCGAGTTTGTGAGTTTATGGAGGAAATAAATGGCAGCGTGGAGAACCTCCCAGAATCTGTGTTCACTGTGCTGTGTGCACCTGGTGGGAGAGGATGAGGCTGTGGGAGCTGAGTGAGAACAGGGCTGTGCGTTGTTGGCTGTGACATGGTCACTGGTCAACTCTGTCCCCTCCTGGCTCTGTTCTCTTCATCTCTTGAGCCTCATGCTGACATCTGTGATCACAGGGACACTGGGATGGCCAGCGCCTTGTCCTGTCCCCGGGATTATGAGTCACCAGGGCTGCTCTCCTGGCTGTGACTCTTTCCCCTGTCTTCTGTGTTTATTTTATCTGTTTAGTTAGTATGGAGGACCAGGCCTGTTCTTGCTCCTGTGAGAGGTGCCTGCCTCATTATCCTGTGGGTTCCCTGAGTGACAGCAGTAAGAGGTGTTTTCCATCCTTGTCTCCTCAAGGCCCAGCTAGGCCCCTGCACTCAGGAGACTGTGGGATGAGAACATGAGCTTCAGTCTCCTGAGCTCCTGCCTCCCTTCAGGCCCCTCCCTGGAGGTTCTCTCTTTCTTTCCCATCTATCAGAATCTAACCCAGTTTGTAGGATTGGCAGAGAGGAGGGATCCACAGGGTCTCATCTCACATCTGTCCTGTGTTCTGCCAAAGGTGCCCTCTCCCTCTATGCCCCTGGGAATCCTGGTGCTGCCTCCAGTGGCGACTCGAGGATTTACAGGCTGGGTCCTCCTCCTCCCATGCGATAGCCAAGCCAGTTCTTAATTCATTAACCAATAAAGCAGCACATAGACTGAAGGACCTCCTACATCACAAGGGGACGATGGGAGGAGGTTGAAGGGGAGAGAAGAGGAAGGGAGGGGAGCAGAGAAAAATGTCAAGCACAATAAAATCAATAAAAGAAAAAAAAGAATCAAGCATTTCAAAAGGAGTGCTCTGATTAGCTGCAGGTCTCAAGAATTATAACCAAAAGCTAATGTAAAGAACTCAGGCCTTGCCGGCGGTGGTGGCGCACGCCTTTAATCCCAGCACTTGGGAGGCAGAGGCAGGCGGGTCTCTGTGAGTTCGAGACCAGCCTGGTCTACAAGAACTAG